GCACTCATTGCTTCCCATGACCATGAATTGAATGAGCTGGTTAAAAAATGGATGGATGGATGATTATGTTATAGCTCAGCTGGGATGTAATCATTTAAACTGCAGACACATGTTATTGGTAATTCAGCTGAAAGTTCCAAGGATCATAATTAAGTTATAGGTGTCATCAGATAAAAACTGATATAACAAGCAAGCAGTTAAGAGACTGCATACCTTCCTTGCAGAGCATCTTTATTTCACTCTATTGAAAGCTACCAGCAGTTACCTTGTTCGTGGCATAACAAAGGAATGTATCATAACAAAACCTGTCTCTGGTGGTCTTTGCAATATAATTGGGATTGTTAACGCACAGGGCTCCTGGGGGAAACCTGCTTATATCTTTTTGTAAAGCACACATACGCTGCTTAAGCTTACCTTGATTCTGTTCTAAGTAAAAACCAAACAAGTCACCTACGCTGAATCAAGCTTTGCTGTTTTTAGAGTAAGAAGATATATATACTGTATATCACTTTCTCTGAAGAATTACTAAAAGCAAAATTTTATTCAGAATTCCTCAGAGAGTTTTTTTTTACTGTATAAACATAACTACCAATAGACAGAAGAAAAGGAGAACACAGCAACAAAGACAGCTTACTCTTTTCAAGGAAGTGCATTAAGAGAGGAAAGTAACTCTAGATTCTAGGGAAGATTGAGGCCTAAGTGCCATTTTATTACATTTGGAATTATTTTTGATCACGCTATTTATTATTTCCAGCTTTAACTACATATTTACTAATAATTGTGAACATAGATCTGTTAACTCCTGTACTGGAGCCTTTAAATGTTTTAGTCGAGCAGGTCTCTCTTATATTTAGTGGCTGTGAAGTTCTAGGTGATGAATTTCCAGATTTCACAGTGGCACATGAATAGCAATATAATCATAATGACAATGTAATGGTAATGGTACAAATACAGATTTGAATTTGTCTCCTCCAAATTCATTGGGGGGGAGGGGGGGGCAGAGTCTATCACAGTAAGCAACGGGCGCAAAGCACAATACACCAGGGATGGAATGCCAGTCCATCACTGGGCACACACAGATACACACCAGAGCTAATTTTCCCAAAGCCAGCTAACCTACCAGTATGTCTTTGGACTGGGGAGGAAACTGGACCAGCTGGGAGTATTAAAAATCTCTATTGAGATGGCACCCCAGCTCCAAAACTGGAATCAGAGCCCCAGCACTGAGAGGCAGTAATGCTAACCACTGCCCCAGTGAATAGTCATTGGTTTTAAAAAAAAAATATTTTTAATGATATCTAAAAATTTTTTCTTCTGCTTTTGTAATTGTACATACTTTTCCTGTGTTATTTTGAATGTCATTAATATTATGGAGTAAAATGCAAATTAGATGCATGTGATGATGTGCATGATGGTTTTTTGAAAATAAAAAGAAACAACATAGGGTACATCTGAAAAGAATGTTTGCAAAAATATTTCTACAGCAACGTCTTATCACCATTTTCCTCATCTGCATGATTCCGCAATAAGGAAATGCAGGAAGACAAAAATCAAGACAAGGCAAAACAGAGGGACTGAAACCTACATATAATGCATCTCATGAGTGATAAAGCCTAAAGGAATTAGTGCTGGAGTTTACTGCAAATGCTAATGGGATCACTTTCTTATATGAATTAGTTTCCCACATTGAGTGGTCGTAAATGTAATTAAAACATTAAAAGACAATAACAATTTCCTATGAAATGACAAACAACAGATTTAGTTCCTAATGTTTTCTTCCTGCTTTTGATCCCTTCTGTGTTTATATTAATTAATTGAGGATGTTTTTCAAACAGGCACATGACACAGTGACTAAAAACAATATATTTCATTATTTTAAATCTATAAGTACAGAGAATAATTATATTAAAATGCATTATATCTAATATAATTTTGGTTCTGTAAAGCTTTAATCGTTTATATTCTATCCTTAGCCTGCCAATGTTATTCGGTATTTTATTATAACCAAATCATAACCAAAATACTCCAGCATATAACTGGATGTCAAAAGTCATGGTAATTCATCTTTACATGTTGATCAGTTGTAATATGGCTTTTAATGATAATATCCGCCAAATATGAAGGTTATATTTAACCCCAGTGAATAATGTATAAGAAAATATCATGTCTAATCTCTTTGTGTTTCCACATTTTAGTTTTGAAAGCATAACACTTCTCAAAGGTGGTTTATCAAGATCATCACATTTTAGGTATTTTATTTTGACTTTCAAGAATAAGCCCATATGTCTTGCCCTTGTGTTCTTGTCAGGGTGGTAAGGTCAAACATGGTACTGACAAGTACAGTATGTATCTGGATGTTTTTTAGAACATTTTTCTCAAGTTCTTAAGTTCCTCTTTTTCGTGACATGGATTTTTTGCAATAATTATTAATGCCCAATAATAACGATTTGTAACATATCATGTACAAGCACAGTCAGAACTGGACTGAGAGACCAGGCTACTGCTTTGAGTGGTGCCAGAAGACCAGTATGTGATATTCTTTTTCACTAGACTTAATGCACCAGTGCAGTGGCTGGGGAAACCGTGCTGTAATACTGTAGGTGCTTAAACATTCCACCAAAAGCCTAATTATGTTCTCATTAAAGATGCCATTGGAAGTTTTCTTAAGAGAAGAGGTGTTAGCCCTGGTATCCTGGCTAATTCCACTGAGCTGGCTCAGTCAAGCATTCTGAAATCTCCTCCTTAATTCAACTAGTGAAGCATTACCAAACACTCCGATTGCTCTGCACTGTAATGCACTGCTGGTGCACAATGTTTGCCGTTGTCCGAGTTTGTTCTGTTCATCAGTGGTAGATGAAGTAAAAGCTTTTGGGTTGAAAAGAACATTACAAAATGCATAACTCATTACTGTTTGTGTTACAGACTGTAAGGTCTGGTTTGGTAAAGGGTGTGAATGAGGTGTTCATAGTAAATGGCTTATACAAAGGATTTAAGATAAATGTCATGCTATGTACAATCTTTATTATCCTAACCTTACATAATACTTAACCATAATACAACAACCAAAGCTATCATCATTGTTTGACCACTTAACATAAAGAAGTTATTGTACAGCATTCAGTATACTCTTTCAAGGCTATAGCATCTAGGAGAACAATTAAGTTTTTTTTTTCATTTACCTGTACAGCTTTCTTCATTTTAAATTAGATCATCTTCAAAGACAAAATCAATATAAACGTTTAGATTTCTATTGTATTAAATTGTGGAATGATATCTGACTTAGAATAAGACGGTAGAAGTTTCATGTGTTCTTTTTAAACAACGACTAGGGGTTGCATAGCGACCTCGGTTGTATTCCTTTTCAGGACACCATGGAAATACAGTACTTCCATCGCTACTGCTACTAATAATTTTCAACCAGATTATTAGTCATTTTGAAACCAAGGCATGAGGGATAAATTGGTACATATTCTTATGTCACAAGTTTGTTATTTTGTTATTCCCCATGAAATCACATTACAATTTAAAAAAGAAACCAGTGTCAGGAACTGAAATGAAAAGCAAACATGCAGATGACGTTCTCATTCGCTGGACTAGGTGACGAGGCTGAATCCCAAACCCCTCTTCAACCAGGGAATCTTCACTACAGGAATTACATTCATAAATACAGACAAAGGAAAATACTGGACCCACAGGCAATCTGAATTATAATCATAAGAGTTATTGTAATTACGACTATGGGGAATCATTTTTTTCGGCAAAGTTAAAAAATTAGGAATTCGAAACAAAACGCACTTCAAAAGTCGGCTGCTTGTCAGCATTGATTTATTTGACATGGGACGGATTTTAAGTGTGTTTCATTGTGAATAAAAATTTCATACGCCGGTTTAGAGTCGGTGAAATATGAATGATTTCGTTAAAGTTTCATCATAAATCAGACTGCGCAGTGTATGCGAGGAGACACTGATTTCCCCTTGATGTCTTCGGCCGCGTGTGTAAGAGGTGACTCCAGTATCTGGCAACCCACTCGTGAGCTCCGGCAGCGTTCAATCTGGTGGCAGTTGGAGGGACTGTAAGTGCAATGCACTTTTACCAGTAGCTTTGTCACTGCAGTGGGACAAAATGTCTGAGCGTCAAAAGAAAAAAAAAAACGGCAGAGACGCAAGCCATTCATTAACAAACGAAGCCAGAAAGGATCAGATGTGACAGACTCGGCTATCTAGCTCAAGCAGCGTGCCTGACCGCTCAACCCACTTTTGAAATTACAATTACCGATGTTCGGAACATCGCAGGTCTCCAATTATTCTTGATATTTTCTATATTGGGGGTTGCTTGGCATATTTACTCATCACTGAACAATGGTTCCTTCACACAACACATATAAAGGTCCAGAGCAGAGATTTCGGAAAGACACAAATATGAATAAAGGACAAATAAAATGCATATTTTTAAATGCGTAACAGTTGTTTCTTATTTCAATTTTAAACGTCAAATTGGAAACAGTACTTGAACTGCCAGGCAAAACTGTAATCCTCCAAGACAGACGGTTGGAAAACAACCATAAGCTTTAGACCTTTTAAAAAAAGCTCTAACTTCGATATGAATGGATACACGCAAATATTTAATTGAAACAATAACTTTATACTTAATTTTGGAGCATGTGCATACATCAGGGTTGTTGATACAATTAGAAAATGCTTTAGAAAATTTGAATAAACGTTACTACTGAGATAATTATTTAAAGGCAACAGCAGATGTAAACCTTCAGACCTATATGTCTAATAATAATAATACATTTGTGTTTTTATTTTGCGACTTACCATTAAACTGTTTTAGATTCAAAACAACAGTTTTATATTGATGGTACACTGTCGTTGGTAAGCTAATGAAACACTGGGCAACAAAAGGAATTTCTGTAGTATTGTTCGTGGTAAGAAATATACGGACAGGTAACTTTGTGACTCTATTTTGTAAAAGCTACCTGGAAAACCGTTTTCGCCAAACATTTTAAACATGAGATTTAACGCACACTTTCTCATTAAACTAAAACAGTTTAATAAAAAGTACATACAGTATGATCCATAACAGCATTTAATCAACAGTTTATATCAATTAGCCCATCCAAAGGCTTCTAACAGATTAAACAAATTAGACAACCCTTGTTAATTAGAATATGATTAAAGGTTTTTAATTATATCACTGATGAAGTACCCTAATTAGTGTGAAGATATGATAATAGCCTGCTGCGACAAGTGCAGAATTGTATTGGGTTTGCAATCAAATCCTAAAGACTTTCAAAATTCCACTTTTCGCTGTCATTAATAAAAGATTCCCCATACAAAGCCTTTTCACCAGTGACATAAAATTTATGCTACATACAATACGTTAACCCAAGGAGCTTCTCAATTTTTTCACTATTACAAAAACTAATAAATTCGTCAAGGTGAATTAGGCATACAAATAAGATAAGGCGTAGCAGATTACATATTGAAAAGCTGTGTTTCACGAGCCTAAATGAAATTCCAATCTAATAATCCCTTCCTGGCCTGGCCATAATTTGCTTAGAGATGTTGTTCTACTTCTTCCAAAGCGCTATTCGCGCCATAATTAAATGATAGTCAAGCTTTTAACTTTGATTTATTTCGTTCCGCGGAGATAGCGGTACATGAAGCTGTTCATATTTATTTCTTTATTTCCATCGGAATTATAAAGCATGCTTTTTTCACTCTTAATCACATCTTCAAAATCTTAAAGCTTGAAACATGACATCCACGACTTCATTATTATATATGTATACACTCTGCATATGACCATGCATACAGTACACACCTTCATGCATACGCTACCAGCTGCCAATACTTAAATAAAATAAAACAAAACAAAACTATTTGGACGATTTTCCCGTTCTTGAGTTGACCATGATAATATATATGGTTGATAATATTTTGTTGTCTCTTTCTTCATTTTTCTTTACCTTTAGCAGATACTGCAGACTGCGCACTGCAAGTGCCAGAAACTTTTGTTAATGCAAAGCACAACACTAGCTAGCTTTGGCCGTGTGAATTGAGTGCCTTTGCCAAAACTGCCCATGCGCGTAGCCCCCCAGCGGTGCTGTGGCTAATGAAGAATAATAAATCCATGAAAGGTTTTTCAGGTGTAGCTGAGAGAGAGAGACACACACACAGAGAGAGAGGGAGAGAGAGCTCTCGCCTGAGAGAAGAGGCAGACCGAGTCCCCGCAGCATTGAATAAAGTCGAAGAGTCTCGAGACTGTCACCTCTTATCTCTTAATTGAATTTGCTCTTGTACCGGCTACTACAGAAAAGGGTGAAAGTGCGCTATGTCAAGGCTGATCTCTTGGAAGGCTGAATGAAAAGAGAAGGAAAAAAAAAACAACTTTTAAAAAAAGATTAGCAGCGTCATTTCTGAAGAGGCAACAACAGGCATCAACGGCGACAAAACAAAGAAAGAAAGAAAGTGGGGCGACAGACTTAAAAACCTGAAAAGCAGTAGGATAGGAGGCGGGCATCTATTTTAAAGCGGCTTGTGCCTCAGCCATAGCAGAAGAGGTAGCCCAAGGCGCGAGCGCTGTTCATTTGCGTAGTCTGCACTGCTCGCGACATCACTCGTAGTGCAGCAGCAAAGACTTAGTGCGAAAGTCCCCCGACCTGTGGGCACTAACAGATGTGCTAAACAGACTAGACAGTTCCTTTTTTTTCTGTCTTTCTACAGAGCAGCAATTATTAAGCAGTGACTCGAGACTTGAACAGGCAGCGGGGCTTCAGCTCCCATCGAAGAGGCGGAGACTGAACTTATTAAGAGGCACTCGCCTCAACTCAGTCGCCTGCAAATATGATGATGATGTCTCTGAACAGCAAGCAGGCATTCGCCATGCCTCACACCAGCTTGCCCGAACCCAAGTATTCCAGTTTGCATTCTTCTTCATCTTCTACTTTGACTTCAAGTGCGCCTTCTTCCTGTTCGTCTTCCAGACACAGTAGTACTATCAGCAGCAGCAGCTCAGAGGCGATGCGCCGAACCTGTCTCCCAACCCCACCGGTACGTATTCTGCATAATCACCGCTTAAAGGCACATTTTGACAGCCCACTTTTTTTTTTGCTTGATGTTTTTTTCATGTCTGCACAGCAAATCACCCAACACCTCCAATCTTTTTTTTTTCCTCCCAACTTATGTATTCAGTCGGGTTTGCCTTTCGTATTAATTTTTATGACCTGGGATGTTGCATGTGTCTTGTTTTGTGTGTTCTTTTTTAGGATTTCTTTTTTTTAACATTCTGGAAATGTTTTAATCCGAAGAGTGGAGAGAGAATTCCCTGCTGACAGTAATGTGTGCATTCTATTTGCAATTGCAGAGCAATATATTCGGAGGTTTGGATGAGAGTTTGCTGGCCCGCGCTGAAGCTCTGGCGGCTGTGGATATAGTCTCTCAGACCAAGAGCCACCATCACCCTCCTCATCACAGCCCTTTCAAGCCGGACGCTACCTACCACACCATGAACACTATCCCCTGTACCTCCTCTGCCTCCTCCTCGTCCTCCGTGCCTATTTCTCACCCGTCGGCTCTGGCGACCCACCATCACCACCACCATCACCACCATCATCACCAGCCTCACCAGGCTCTGGAAGGGGACCTTCTCGATCACATCACGCCAGGGCTGGCGCTCGGGGCCATGGCGGGGCCGGACGGATCTGTTGTTTCCACGCCAGCACACCCTGCCCACATGGCAGGTATGAACCCCATGCACCAGGCGGCCATCAACATGGCCCATGCCCACGGGCTGCCCTCTCACATGGGCTGCATGAGCGACGTTGATGCGGATCCCAGAGACTTGGAAGCCTTTGCCGAGCGTTTCAAGCAGAGGAGGATCAAACTCGGGGTTACCCAGGCGGATGTTGGGTCAGCGCTGGCCAACCTGAAGATTCCAGGGGTGGGCTCTCTTAGCCAAAGCACCATCTGCCGGTTCGAGTCCCTCACGCTGTCCCACAACAACATGATCGCCCTGAAGCCGATTCTGCAAGCCTGGCTGGAGGAAGCAGAGAAATCACACAGGGAGAAACTCAACAAACCCGAGCTCTTCAACGGGGCAGAGAAGAAGAGGAAGCGCACTTCAATAGCGGCGCCAGAAAAGAGGTCCTTAGAAGCGTACTTCGCCATTCAGCCTCGTCCCTCCTCCGAGAAAATAGCAGCCATCGCAGAGAAACTAGATCTCAAAAAGAATGTGGTTCGGGTCTGGTTTTGCAACCAGCGGCAGAAACAGAAAAGAATGAAGTATTCTGCTTGCGCCTAGCTTGACCTCTAGCAATTGAAAAAAAAAAAGTAGAGAACAATGAAGGCTGTAAAAGCCCACTAACTCTTTCGATTCGATTTGTATAATATTTCTTATCTCACGCTCTTTTTTCAATCATCAATGACTTGAACTTTGAAACAGAATTATTCATCATTACCCAAAGTGACTCAAAATCAAAACATAAACTGACACGTCTTGTTCCCCCCCCCCCGAAAGGATGTGGAATCATTTAAAAAAGGGATCGTTTGACTGAGCAAGTAAGACAATTTGTTTTTTCCCCCTTACTATGCTTCACCGTTTTGTCCAAAAAAAAAAATGCAGCTCATTATGTTTAGGTCACTTGGAAAATACCGTTTTTATGGCATTGGATTTATTTCAGGTATGAGAATAAAACCATTTTAAAACAGTGGTCATATAGATGAAATCAGTATTATCTACATATGTTTATTTCAAAGCAGCCACTAATAAGTATTTTCCCGAACAAATATACATCTCTTTTTATCATGATGTAATCTGGCGTTTTATAGAGGCGATGAAAGGGAGCAGAGCTGTATTCGCTGCTCTTCCTGAAAGCTATTATTAGATTACTGCCAAACAACCCCCCTGTAAATTATTAATTTAGCCGTCTATATACTTAATTTTGTGCTCAGTGTAATTAATTCCGCCTCTTTAATTTAAACTATGATGACAGCAGGGGAAATGAAAAAGGTATTTTACAAAAATACCGACTGATTTATTTGCAAATAACCAAAATACTGTGGCATGATAAAACACCGCGTCTGAACAAGGGGAGACGTTTTCTTTTTATATATGTATAGATTCAGAACACAACACATTGATATAAAGTGTGAAATAATTGTTTGTCAGTGCTGGATTTCTTTTGCCAGATGTTCTATTTATTAGTTGCAAACCTCTGCAATACGTTTGCGTGGGTCTCCTTCTTATAAACTATTTATTGTGTGAGGTAATGTTTACTTCATTACATATTTATTGGGATTCCCTCCTCGTTTTGCTAGAGAAGATCAAATTCTGAAAGCGAGTAAAATATGTTTTCGAAGGGGAGATGACTGCTAAAATATGTCAATAATATTTTTGTCGTTTCTGTTAACGTTTGAAATAGTACAATCTGAGTATATTAGATATTGTTTTCTTGTTTTTCTCCTTTTCCCTGAGATTTATTTGTATAAAATATCAGCGTATTAATAATAAGTCTTTGCTTGTTAAATCACATTGTTTAGTATTGTTTTCTTATTGAAGAGAAGAACCAATTTCATGGAAGTATACTTGTATATTGTAAATATTTCATTGGAACGAGTCGATGCACATAGATATATTCTTACAGATTTTGCTGTATTGCTGTTTTAGCAGAGAGAATTTGAAGAATTACTTTCTGTAACGTCTGTTCCATTTGGTTACTTGTCAAATGAATTTTATATTATTTATTACATTCATGTATCTTTTAAGTTATTGAATTATTGAATTGCGATATGTCTTTCATTAAAGAACAAATTTTAACATTTTCATGGAATTAAGTTTTCAATGAGTTGGATTATTGCGAAACATATTCCTGAAAATTACTTAACCTAAGTGTACAATTTAGTTTACTAATATATAACAGCACTTGCATGTAACAGGGCCATTTATGCAATCGAATTCTAATAAAAACTATTTTCTAAAAAATGAAGAGGAAACTCTTATTTCATTTTTAGATTACTATCTACGTACAGTGCAGTACGCCTAAAAATTGGCTTTTTTAGTTTGAGGAAGAGATGATAAACTGAAGAGGTCTAGAAAACTGCACAGCAACTACGAATTTTCTTAACTGTGAGAATTTGATTTTGTTTTTGCGTTTCAACTCAAGTTAAAATGAACGATAAAGATGCGTTTCTATAAGCGCAATTTTGGCAGATATAAGAGCCCGGGGTAGCACGTACCTGGGAGAAATTGCTAATATTCTATTAGGCTCTAATCAGGGAGTCTATAGAGATCTGGATAGGTCCCCGGAGCGTATCCCTGCCAGATGTCAAAGCCCTAGAAAAACATTTCGCCTGCCAACGTGGCAGTCTTTATTTAAATATACAGCCAACAACTCCCATTCCAACATCAACATAAGCTAGCTTTGAAGTACACCTTCATATTAGTGTATGTTAAACACAAGGTCTTATAGCACTTCTTTTTTAAAGTCTAATTTCTATGTGAGCTTTTTGAACGCCAATACCGAAAGCAATCTCTGAAAGTTGTTAATGTTAAAATAGCCTTTTATGTTAAAAATAGTTCAGCGTTGATATAGCAATTATACAAAGACATTTAAATGTACGATAATACTTCTGAACAGTGCCATACGTAGTCAATAAAATTCTGTGAAACACTACAAATTCGTAAGTGTAGGTCTATAGGCGATTCAGCATTACTGAACAACTTCAGTACCATGGATAGTTACCCGGTATCTAGATGCGGTGTACAACAGCAGATTATGAGATAATGTCCGGAATTTTAATTTTAGTTATCGTTTTTTCTCTGATGATATATTTATACCATACGTGTATGTATACGTGTATGAATTATTACATATATTTTGGAGTTGGAAAACACGTGGAAATGTAAAGTTCTTTCAAAAAGTGCAGCTTTTTGTGTAACCATTAGACTTTAAGAAAAATAGCACAAAGACATTAAGTGTCACGGACTAACTATAATGCAGCTTTTGAATTTCAGTTACACATAATGTTAACGAAATCATGCTAAATTACATGTGTGAATGTGTTTTGTGTGAGATCTGAGACTTCACTAGTTTCCACATGATTTACATATCTGCGACGTCTCTGCTATCGAACACAAAATATGAGTTAAGGAGACATCGCTCATAAAATATTAATCAGATCAATATATGTCAACACATTGAGAAAGAATCAAACATAAACTTTCAAATGACAAAACACGAATAAAATTGCGTTTTATTTCAGTCAGATTGAAAACTGAAATTTCAGCGTCTGAAGACATGTTTTGAGAAGAAACACCAGTCATGGTTTTACGTTGTCAGTGTAATTTACAGATGTTTTAAATTTTAGGCCTTTCTTTAAATTGCATTTATCGATTTATGGATCCTCATGCTTTTAAAGGTTTCAACAGTATGAGACGAACGCACGGTATTGAGAAAAAATCGCGAAACGTTTTCTAAAACTTTTCTCACTCATTACTACTTATTGCGTAATAAATCAAAATGTAGTCCAAATACTACACTCAATGTTACGACTAAAGGGGTTTTAGAAGTGTTCATCTGTCCGGTTGTTTTTTTTTAATTATCTACCAGTTACATTCAGCATTTCTAAAGTATTTCCATTCTATTCATTTTTATTGAAGTTGGGTGCAATGGGTGCAATCCAGATTTTACAACAAAATGAATGTCGTTTTAATATGTATTCCTCAGCGATAGGCCTACTTTAATTTTACCCAAAAACAAAGTTTTTGCAATGTTTAAGCAGTTATGAGACTTAATAGTGTTAAAAGTCAGGTCGTGCAGTGAGCTTGCTCGTAGGACAGTGTTTATCTTTAAAAGTAAATTTGGCGAAGTAAAAAGGATCAAAGTGGCAGAAATATTTTAGAAATTAGCCATATCATTGAGATAGTCACACATTTTATCAATTAAAATGTCCTCTCGGTGTAAGGAAATGATTCTTTAAAACGTGTCTTCTCTGCCCATCTCCTAAATGAGCCATTCACTTAATAAGCTAATGTGAACGAATTAATAAATTACACAGCGAATTATGAAAACTAGATAATTACTAGGAGTAAGTAAGTAATCATTAGTTATCTCAGCTAATTACTGTGGGTCAGGGCGAGCTGGAATGTGAAATTCTCTTCGGGAATTCAAATTAACTTTGCTTAGTGAGACTCACTGCTCGACATCCCCATTCAGCGCGAGTGTGGCAGCTCCCTAGCGTGACAATCTCCTATTTAACTTCTACAGACGGGAAAAAATTCAATTTAGGTCTATGATCTATGATAATAATGTGTGCTTTAAAAAGGGATAATGCATACACATACAGTATACTGTATATATTAAATTAAATACGACCGATGGAGAACAAGTAAATGGATACATACTGTACTGTAGGATGGACACATAAAAAATACAAACGGACGACGTCCATCTGTAATATAATATTTAGCAATATGAATACTAGGACAAGGTAGGCTTCCAACATATGTACCACTTTTGCTTTCATTGATGATATAACTTTTATTATAATTTATTATTTCTTTGAAATATGTTATATAGGACGAAATCGTAGTAGTAGTAGTAATAACAAATTCAGTGGTCATATTTTTAAAGAAAAAATAGAATGCTGTTTTCCTTTGTTATAATTAGGTCTTATGTTTTATTTTTCTCTTTCCCCTGAACATTTTTCCCCTTTCTCTGGGATGCTGATAAAAAATTAATGAAGCCTGGGACTGGCGGAGCTCCGCCTGGGGACCTACGAATAGAATATTTTAACTGTACATTTACACCAAGTGTCTGCCTTCAAAGACGTGACTGCTTTTAATCTCAAATTAGAAGAACCACAGGCCAGAAATGGAAAACTAGACGCCACAACCTCTTTTTTTATTATTGTTTTCGGTTCTTTAGATAATGTCACAGTATCGCTCATTGTGCTGCCCCCTTTTAACATTGAGGTGCTAGATACATCCGGGGTCTAATTACAATTTCTTTAATAATAGATGCCTTTTATAGAGTTGCAATGGTTTTGTGATTTTGGTTTTTTAATGGGGCTTATGCAATATTCATTCGCATCGGTGGTTATAAGAATGTGAAGTGTTTTTCAGAAACTAATCGATGGAGTTGGGGTGTGAGAGTAAAGACAAACGCCTTTGTATTATTTCATTTCAAACACTCACAGTGCACCGGTGAGTAGACTGTCAGATGTGTTTTATTAATTTTATTGAATCTTTGACGCGTATGACTGTTTTAAAGAAACAAAAAATATGAAATCGCACTATTTCTATATAGCAGTATAAATGA